CCCCCCCACCATCTTAGTCACCTCGCTTTCTGAGCATATATAAAAGTACATTGTATTTACGGATATATAAAATTGAAGATAAGATGAGATTAATCGATTTTCATTAATAGAGATCAATAATATTATTCGCAATATATCATTTACTGATTTATTTTAATCTTATTTTTGGCATTGTTTCTATAAATATTTCTTAATATATAAAGGACTAGTTCCATATAATAATATAATGGACTATCGCTTATATTCACATAGATCAATTTTACATGTTCTTACGCCGTGATTTCTTAATTGCAAACTGATGAATTATCTCGTCACAATTTAATGAATTTAAAATTTCCGCCTCTATCGTTAATATAGCCAAGGAATTCAAGCGAGTCTGTCCAATGGTCGATCTCAAATAATTCTTGATCCGCTTTAAACAAGAAAACGATCTCTCACCACTGCAGTTTGTGACAGCCATACAGAGAAACATCCTGTATGCGATGTCAACGTTGGGAAACACCGAGTCAAGATCATTCTTTTTTAAAAACTTAAAAGTTTCAATTGGTGTAAGCTGCTTTAAGTTTTGTTTATCACAATCAAGATAGGCTTTAAAATGGATTAGTTCATCATCTAGTGAACTCTCTAAATCTTTATTAAAAGCGCCTTGTAAAATTTGTACTTTTCCCCGAATATCAGCAATATCCATATTCATGAAATCAATAAGAACAGAGAATTTTTCGTAAATAGTTTCGTATTTTTGACATCTTTCTTGTATGTCAGCTAACAAATTGTCAAAAATGACATTGTATGTGTTCACTTTAAAATTATCTTTTCCGAGCAATGTCACCTCTCCTGTTCTTGTTTCATCGTCATAGATTTTCCTGCGTTTCACTCGACACACTTCTGTTTTGTATTCTTGATTAACTGACAAATCGAATGCCTTCTTTTCAAAATAGTCGAAGTCTTCACGTGCGTCACCCACAGTCTTGATAAGACTTTTATACAATCGAACAACTTCATTCAGGTTAGTTTGCGTAGATTGCAATTTTTTGCTAACAGAATTGAATCTCGAAAGTAAAAAACTCCACAAACATTGCATGAAAGCTGTCTCCAGTAATTCGAAACGATTTCGAATCCCTTTAGCTTCACTGCGTATTGCAGCTTTTTGTGAAACGTCGTCTTCGATGCTATACAAAGCTTGAAGTATTTCAGTATAATACTGATCAAGAATATGAACGGCGTCATTACGAGCTGACCAACGTGTTATTGAAACGGATTTCAAAACAATTCTCTCAGATTTTTTGCAGCAACATTGTAAAACATCCCAACGACTGGTAGATGCACTAAAAAAGTTATATAAACTTTGAAGATCGTTAAAGAAATTAGCAGCCTCTGAGCAATTTTCAACTGCATGAGTGCCAACTAAATTCAGAGAATGGGCAGCACATGGAACTTAGTTTGCATATTCGTTACGATTTTTTATTAATTGTTGAAGCCCTGCGTATATCCCTGACATATTTTGCGCTGTATCATACGACTGGCCTCGACAATTTTCAATGTCAATTTGAAGAGTTTTCAAGGTAGAAATTACAGCATCATCCATATCTGCAGCCTTGTGGCCTACATTTTGTAAAAATGTCACAAAGCGCTCTACGGACATACCGTCTTTATTTACATATCGCAGCATGAGACACAGTTGATCCACATGTGAAATGTTTGGTGTGGAATCGACAATAATAGAGTAGTATTTCGCATAATGTATTTCTTGAAATATTACATCTAATAATATCAATTTATATCAATTATTACAATACCTTACTAGCTAAGATTTGGATGAACTCCTCACAGATCGTTTTTGATAGATAACTGGTACTACCGATACCTTTACTCCCAAACCTAGAGATATGATCTGCTAAAAATGGGTCGAATTCGGCTATCAACTCTAAAACCATCAAGTAATTTCCGTTATGAAGAGAGCCAAACTTTTCATCATGCCCTCTAAAAGGCAATCCACGTGATGCTAAACCTTTAATAACGGCAACAACTCGTTTTAAAACATTTTGCCAGTAGGCTACTTCTTTATTGTATTCAGCTATTAGAGTTTTGTCAATTCTACCAAAATTACTTGCTCTATCTTTTAAAGATTTCAAGCAACTTTGATGCTGTTTAGAATTTTCGTGATCACTCATCCTTATTACCGCGTTTTTCCAATCGCTGAATCCATCTTTCGAAGCAAAAGATGATTCGCCGTCGAAAAGAAGACATGGAGCACAATACACAGATCCTTTGCTTTCAGAATATACTAGCCAGGTACGGAGTGTTTTTTCACCATTCAAAAGTTTTCTTTCGAACAAGGATAAATTCAAATATCGCACGGCATTATTATATATTCTCTTTGACTGCGCAAAATCTAGATGCGTATTTTGTTTGTAGTTATGTTCAGCGATATAATCACGTGTTGAGTCGTTTATCAGCCATTTCGCAGGGTCGTCGCTGAATGTGAAGATTTCCCCATCATGCTCTGTTCGTTTTGTAGATTCTGTGGAGCCCTCACGATCTCTACCAACTGCTTTGCCAAAATCACTTTGTCGTCTTTCTAAATCTTCAAAGGGATTTTCAGAAGAAACTTCATCATTAAGCTCATCTACGGGATAGCATTAAAGATTATCCATTACATATATGTTTTTTTATTACTTTCTTTTTTAAACGAGTTCGAAAATTTTCCCGAACTTTTCAGTAAATATTCATCTACAGTTCGGTATGTATTTCTAAATTATTTGTAACTCTTCTTGAATATAGTGCCTCAATATTTCTAATGAATGAATTCGTAGTATTTCTCAAATTTTTTTCAAATCCTCAACATCTGAATGAGTTCGGGAATTTTCGCTAAATTATTTTTTTCCGTGTAGTTTGCGATACAAATGCGTAAAAGTTTATTCTACGAATGCGAGGGCTGCATTCACATTCATACAAAAACATTTTCGCACATGCGTCGAACAACGTTTTTTTATACATTTTTTATACTATTTTATCACTTTGCGAGTCAGAGCAAATGATATTAACCTCACTCTTTGGTTTTTCTACTTTAACATTGCTACTTTGCTTATTTTCTTCGTCATCAACGTCATCTGATTTTTTAAGACGTCTGGATGTACAAGATTTCGGATATATTGTAGTCAAATGTAATGAAATTTCAGTCGACTAATCCGACTGTTATGATGACCAAAAGTGAAAAGCAATGAATTTGAGATACGAACAATCATAGAATTTTCAACTCACCTGCAGAATCTAATGTTTTTTGAAAGAATTCACTTGTTTCTTCAGTGTTAGAGCTACCTGTAGCAGTTTGTTTACTTTTAAAATAGGAGGAAAGTTTTTTTGTTTTTCCCATAACCTCGTCATCTTTCAGTTTCTTTTTCGCAGCTTGTTTGCGATATTCGGAACCACTCAATCGTTTTCGTCCGTCACTCATTGTATTTCAAGAGATTTATTCAGATTTTTTAATGCAAATATACGTATGCCCATTCAAAAGATCGGTCGGACAGAGGATGTTTCATGCGCAGCGGTACACCCACGGCCGCTAATTCTCGAAGGGAATCCTCGTTTCTTACAACCTTAAACTCGCCTAGTAGGACGTTTTCTACAGTGTAGGTTGTTCATGGTTGAGATGCGAAATCTGGCAACCGCGACGACCATGACTGAATGCACACGCACACAAAGATACATACGGAGTCTCTTACACAGACTTGCGCCCTCATGGTAGTCGCGGTTGCCAGATTTCTTATCTCAACTATGAACAATCTACAATGTAGAAAACGTCCCACTGGACGGGTTTAAGGTCGTAAGAAACGAGAATTCCCTCCGAGAATTAGCGGCCGTGGGTGTACCGCCAGATGACAGCAGCGCGCCAGCTCTCGCCATGTCTTTCATTGGCTAGCGGGACGCCCGCAAGCTCGCCAAGGTTCAAAAAGTCGGCACCTCGAGGCATTCCGAGTTTTAACAATGTTTATTGAAGTAAAGCAGAATCGTATGACCAACAATATAATTTGGCTTGTACGCTTTCACATCAGTTGTTCTTTTTTTTAATCACCCAAGTAGCTTTATATCTAACGTAAACGATCGAAATTCGCCGCCCCCCCAAATTTCCCGCCCTAGGCAGTTGCCTAGGTTGCCTGCCCGGTAAATCCGCGACTGTCGCAGATATAAGTGAAATACTTACGGTCGAACGTATGAGTCCATATCTTCAGAGCAACTGATACAGTCCCCCTCAAATTCTTTATAAAGTTTTCCCTACCATAGCACTTTGAGGATGGATGTTGAATTTATGTACCAATTTCAAAGAATAGTTTATATGAAATTACTTGAGAATCTTTA